GTATCGCAGTGCTTTCAACACTTTCAGGTTGAATGTGTCCTAAGCTAAGCCCATGAATTTCAACGTGTCTGTTCTGATTAGAACTTAGCTGGATCCAGCCCTTTTGCTTTTGAGCATAAACATGATGTCGCGGACTAATTAACCTGTGCCGTTTTCCTTTTCCTTTCCATTCCTGACCTCTGACCTGTGTCTCCTTTCCCCCCACCCTTTCCCTGACCTTTGTCATTGGCCCATACCAGTGAACAGGCAAGACAGTCTGAGCCCAGTCATGGAAGACTATGATATCAGGTCTGCTGCCAGCATTCTGGCATCCGTTAAGGAGCAAGAGGCTCGTTTTGAGCGCCTCACCCGGGCCCTCGAAGAGGAGCGGCGCAATGTCTCCTTGCAACTCGAACGCGCCAATCAGCCCTCCGACCGAGTGACCATGTGCAACATTGGCAGTGCTCAGCCCCTGGCAACCGCCTGGCAGCAGCTGGTCCTGCAGGTAAACTGCCTGCTCTTATTGCTTGTCCCCTCTGCGTTATGCATCATCCCTCCCCCCGTCTCCATCACCAATGTCCATTTACCGTATTTTTCGCTCTATAGGACGCACTTTTTCCACTCCAAAAATTAAGGGGAAATGTGTGTGCTTCCTATGGAGTGAATGCAGGCTCCTTGGCTTCAGCGATAGCAACGTGAAGCCTCCGAAACGCAGAGGGAGCGCTCCTTCCGCGCTCCGGAGGCTTCGCGTTGCTTTCGCTGAAGCCTGGAGAGCAAGAGGGGTTGGTGCGCACTGACCCCTCTCGCTCTCCAGGCTTCAGGGATAGCCGACTGAAGCCTTCGGAGCGCAGCGCGAGTTCCCTCTGCACTTCGCAGGCTTCGGGTTCCTTTCGCTGAAGCCAGGAGAGCAAGACTCTCTTGGCTTCAGCAGAGAGGGAGAGCTTCGCAGTGCCCCTTCAGCCAAGCGGGAGGAGAAATTTCTCCTGCCACTTCGCTGAAGGGGCGCTGAGCAGAGAGGGGGAGATTTTTTTTTTCTTGTTCTCCCCCTCTAAAACAAGGTGCGTCCTATGGTCCGGTGCGTCCTATAGAGCGAAAAATACGGTAACTACGAAAGACATTTATTTGTGGGTCATGTTTTGTATACCAGCCACCTTTTCCATTTTGTCGGTTGTTTCCCGAACCAGTGGGGGGCAGTAGACGGAAAAGCAACCTCTTCTTCCTTCGCCGATTCCTTCTTGATTAACTTCCTGTAGATTGTTTTCTCTCTCAGGCTTTACTTCCTTCCTGCTTCTTCTTCGGGGTTAGTGTTGGACCTGCCTTTTTTCGTTAACCTCATTACTCCGTGATGGCCAGGTGTAAGCCTGTACTCAAGATAGCTTGGTTTGCTAGGAGGAATAAACCTCAAGTTTCTTTTTTCTTTTTCTTTTTTTCAAGATAATCTTTATTGGTTTTTTAATTACATACACATATTGCATTACATTTTACATTTATACTTGCTCCTAGGAGCTGACTTCCCTCCATCCTTCTTCTGGCTTTTTTATATCGTCTCTAAATTTTGGAATAAACCTTAAGTTTCGTTACCGTTTCAGCCGACGGTCTTAACCAGGCTATTAATCAATGCACTCTGCTGATACATGTGTTCTATCTAACCTCCTTCAAAGAGCTCAAGCTTAGGCCTGGTCAACACATGTTGGGAAATGAGGTAGTTGGATGTTGTGAAAAGATTGGAATGGACTGCAAGGACAGAAGCTGCATATATTGCAAGGTGACTGTCTGGAGTGCCAGACTTGGGCATGTGTTTACATATGAGCGTGAGGCTCAGGGCCACTAAAACTGAGGATTAAAACTGAAGGGAGACCTAGAACAAATCACGGCAACGAGGAGTGCTCATGCTCAGAGTTTCAGTCAGCTGGACACACTCCTCTCCAGGATACTCAATTCGCCACCCCGGTTTCCTGTCCCCCACCTCAGCAGCCATATAGAAGTGTAAGGTTGGAAAGGGTACCCAACGGTCATCTAGTCCAACCCCCTGCAACGCAGGAATCACAGCTAAAGAATCCCTGGCAGATGGCCATCCAACCTCTGTTTAAAAACCTCTGAGGAAGGAGAGTCCACCACCTTCCAAGGTAGTCCATTGGATCAGAACTACAGCTCTTGCATCAGGAAGTTCTTCCTAGCGTTTAGTTGGAATCTCCTTGTTTTTTGAATCCATTGATTCAGGACAATCGTCATTCTTTGCCCAGTGAGCATGCTTTTTCTACGCTGGGCTGCTTTTCACTTCCTCCCCTATTTAAGGTTTTTTTTTCCTATTTTTTCTTAAGAATGGCAGTGGCCATTTTGAGCATGTCCAATTGATACACGTTGTTTTTGGCCCCTGAAGGGGGCAAGGGTGGAGGTGGAATGGGCCTAGGCCCAACCACTGATGTGCGCAATGACCTGGGACCCAATCGTGTGTTGTTTTTAAACTGTCCTCAACTTTTCGGGGGTACTATTTGTAAAAGCAATTTTAAAAACGTGTTTCTAGCTGTTTTTATAGTTTGTAAATTGCCACAAGACGTATTTAAAAGCTAATAATAATACAGTGGTACCTCGGGTTACATATGCTTCAGGTTACATACGCTTCAGGTTACAGACTCCGCTAACCCAGAAATAGTACCTCAGGTTAAGAACTTTGCTTCAGGATGAGAACAGAAATCGCACGGCGGCGGTGTGGCAGCAGCAGGTGCCCCCATTAGCTAAAATGGTATTCAGGTTAAGAACAGTTTCAGGTTAAGAACGGACCTCTGGAACGAATTAAGTACTTAACCCGAGGTACCACTGTAATAATAATAATAATAAGAAGAAGAAGAAGAAGAAGAAGAAGAAGAAGAATGCATAGTAGGAAGATGGGTATCTGATAGAAGCTGCTTTGCATGGTCAGAGACTTAGTCCATCTAGCTCAGGCATAGGCAAACTTGGCCCTCCAGATGTTTTGGGACTACAACTCCCATCATCCCTGACCACTGGTCCTGTTAGCTAGGGATGATGGGAGTTGTAGTCCCAGAAATCTGGAGGGGCCGAGTTTTCCCATGCCTGATCTAGCTCAGTATTGTCCACTCTGACTGCCAGTGTCCCTTCAGGGTTTTAGACAAGGGATTTCCCTAGCCCTACCTAAAGATATCAGGGATTGAACTTGGGACCTTCTGCATGCAAATCACTGAATTATGGCCCCATCGCCAAATAGAAACAGCTGTGCTGGTGTTGTCTCTGGAGCATGTTCTGTTCCCCGAGAACATAATTTGAGTAAAGTCAACAAAGTGGGAGTGGCGGATAGGTTTGTGTCAACTTCTCCAAGGTCTAGATTTTGTTTTGGGGGGCACCAAGTGCTCTGTGTGGTCCAACTTTTCATTCTAAGCGGGCCACAAAAGCATAGTACTTCAATATGGAACCTGTGGGGCACACACTGCCTTGTTGCATGAGTGGGGGGAGCGAGGCCAAAATTTGACCCTCCCAGCCCTAACAGGTTACACCCTGTTTTACAATGTCCTCCTCCTGCTTCTATTTCGGACCTCAAGATGATACGTCCTCTTTATTTATCTTCTGATGGAGTAAAGGAGCAGGCATGGGTGCCTTATTTTTCCCTAGACAGACCAGAACTAGAAACTTTTCTACCCAGGTTATGTGTTTTCTGTGTTTTCTACAACAACCAACTTTATTGTGTGTGGTTTTGCAAGTATCTTCAGACCTTTATGTGGGGTTAACAATGGCAAGGGTTCCATCACAGGTGCAGAGAGAGTCACTTGGTACTGCAGTAATCAAGTGCCAAGCATACATGTGTGAACTAGGCTTTAGTTTCAAAGGCAGACTGCTACTGAGAGTTTGAAAAAGACCCTGGTTGTGTTAGGTGACAGAAACTGGGCAAAAAAGCTACTTGGGTTTTTCTTCTTCTTTGGGGATTAAGGGGTTTCTGAGAATTCTGCTTTGGGACTCGGACTGTTCCTGTTGGAAAACTTTATCCATTTTCTCCAACAGCAGTTGAGAAGGACCATAGCTCTGTCTGTCTCCAAATCAGTCTCTTACGCATAAGCCAAGAAAGAGTATTCTCTATAAGATTGAATATCAATATACATATCAAGACTTTGAGATTAGACCACTGAAGAAGCCCGGAAAACTATCTTGGGAGTGTCCTACCTGCATGCCACAGTTAAAGGGCCCCATCGGGGCGAACAGTGGCCTTTTGATTACTTGGACTTCCAGGGCGAAACAGGTGCAAAATGCCGGCACCCTGTCATCTACAACTTCATTGTCTACAACTTTATTAACATCTATCTACAACTCTACGGGGAAGCGAGTGGCTCTGTGGGTTAAACCACAGAGACTAGGGCTTGCCGATCAGAAGGTCAGCGGTTCGAATCCCCTGGACGGGGTAAGCTCCTGTTGCTCGGTCCCTGCTCCTGCCAACCTAGCAGTTCGAAAGCCCGTCAAAGTGCAAGTAGATAAATAGGTGGGAAGGTAAACGGCGTTTCCGTGTGCTGCTCTGGTTCGCCAGAAGCGGCTTAGTCATGCTGGCCACTGACCCGGAAACTGTACACTGGCTCCCTTGGCCAATAAAGCGAGATGAGCGCCGCAACCCCAGAGTTGGCCATGACTGGACCTAATGGTCAGGGGTCCCTTTACCTTTTCAACTCTACTAGCATCTCTCGGTATTGTGAATATCACCAAATTTACCTTTTTTTGGTATCTTCATGAACTTATCTAAAAGACTGAGTTAAGCATTTTAGGCTGGGTAGTTCGCAAGCCTTTGTGGCTTTGTTTAATGTTTTGTATTTTTCTCAGAAGGTTGATTAAGTATGTATAAGTATTGTTCTGTGTCTATTAATCGCCAACGTGTTGCATGAGTCGCACTACTGTCTCCAGGTACGGCTGGGAGAGCCAGCCTTGCCTGAAACCCTGGAGAGCGTCTGATAGAATCATCAGAATTGTAAAGGTGGAAAGGACCATGAGGGTCATCTAGTTCAACCTCCTGTATTGCAGGAATCTTTTGCCCAATGTGGGGCTCGAACCCATGGCTTTGAAGTTAAGAGTCTCATGTTCTATGGACTGAGCTATCCCAGCCATCATAGTACATAATACGGAGCTAGGTAGGTCCAATGATCTGACTCAGTATATGGCAGTTCATATGATCCTGAGGTCCTAATCTTACTATGGTTTAGAGCAGGGGCCGTAGCTTAGTGGTAGAGCAGGTGTCCTGTGTGCTGAAGGTCCCAGGTTCAATCCCTGGTATTTCCAGGTAGATCTGGGAGAGACTCCTGTCAAAAATCTTGGACAGCTGGTGCTGGCCAGAGTAAACAGTGCTGAATTAGACAGACCAAAGATCTGACTCAGGAGAAGGCAAGATTCCTATGTTATAAATTTATCTTTTCCGCTTTTTGTTTATACAAGGACCAACCTCCAAGGGAATCTGACCTTGCAACTCTTTCCCCCACCCCAAATTTCCCATTGCTTTTGGGGAACGGGGAATTAAATAATAAGTTTATTTCTGTTCCAGTGGCCAGTCTTTTCCCTAAGGAAACCTGTGACCTGAATATTTAAGCTGTGCTGTCTCCTTCCTTCGGCAAAATGTAGATTCTCCATTTCTCACACCTAGCAGGTCAAAGGGGGTAGCTGCAGATCAATCAGTCTGCCGAGGTTCATGATCTTCTGTGGACTCCGTAGGTGTCCGTACTGCTATAATGATTTTCCCTTTTCCTTTTGAGCTGTGAACCTCTTGCATTTGAGATCACATCCTGTGATAGACCTTGTTGTGATTCTTAGGAAGAGTTGCTGTGCCCTTTAAGATGAAAGGACCAGCCGATATGTCAAAGTGTCCTTGCAAACAAAAACAAATGATCTGCAATCCTTTCCTGGAGCAAAGGCACATTGGACAGTTTGGTCTGAGTAGACCTGTGGATGATTAGACTCTACATCTGCTGTGATAAAGCACCTCTAAGTGACTTCAAGGAGAATCACATCATATTCATAGACTTTATTAGGATTTTGGAAAGCACCAGGGTTGTGATAGAGCTTAAGTCAGAGAGACAGAAAGAGAGAGAGAGAGAGAGAGAGAGAGAGAGAGAGAGAGAGAGAGACACCCATCTGCACTAGATATTTCAAACAGTATCATATCCCTTTAAACAGTTATGGGTGCTGGGAGTTGGTAGGAAACCAAAGTTCTGAGTAGTTTAATAATCAATCCCTCTTCCCATTAAAATCTGGGAATTGCAGCTTTCTGAGGGGAATAGTGGAGTGGTCTCCTAACAACTCCCAGCACCCTTAACAAACTACAGCTCCCAGAAGCCATGAGTATTTAAAGTGGTATGATACTGTTTGATGTTCGGTGAATATGGGGCCAGTGAGAAAGAGAGAAAGAGGTGTTACCTCGAGCAGTGGCTTCCAAACCCAACTGTACCACTATAAAATTTATAAGGGTCTTGGAAGACCACTTGATTATTTTTCTGCCTGTTGCCTGTGGGCCCAGGTGCAGTTGTGTAGTGGTTGTGCAGAGCAGGTGGCACATGAAGACCAGGAGGACCAATCACCAGATCAAACCATAATTAGCAGCTGTTTGGAAGGTTGTATTGCACTGCATGTGTGTGCATGGTGAAGGTTGTTAATGGTTCATGTGTGGCATATGTCCACTGTTTCTAGTTGTGATGGAAACCCTTGATTTTGAGCCATCGTTGCTGGACCACTGGAAAGCTTAAGACAGAGGATCTTATAGCGGGTTTGTGAAGTGGTTTACAGGACAGGATGGCACTGGAGAGAGAGAGAGATTAAACAGGAAATCAGAAGCATTGCCTAATGGAGCGACAATAGATTGTTAAATGTTTTTCAAGGATGTGGGAGAAGCTATTTGTGACCCTCAAGTCAAGGGGCAAGGAGGCAGACAATTTATTGAGCCAGCTTGAGGGTGTGGGTTGGTGAATCCAGAGCTGGTAGGTAGGGTGGGGAAGAGATTAGACCTTTTACATTTTTTCATCTTGAATTTCTGAGAAGGGAAGAGCTAGTCCTCTCCTTTCCTTGTGCCAGCCTAATGTGAAGAGAAACGGGAGCTTCAAAAACATGGTCAGTGCTGGGAAGGAAAAGCAGATCTAAAAAATGTGGCAAGATGTCTAGTACTGTAGTGTCTACATAGACTGGTAGCAGCTCTTGAGGGGCCTTTCTTAGCCTGATGTGGAGATGCAAAGGATTTAATTTGGAGCTTTTCGTGTGCAAATATTGTGCTGTACCACCAAGCTATGGGCCATGCCCTTAAGAATTGTATTGGTTGCTGCCTTAAACTGACCTGGATCATCATAAGAAGAGGAGTTTGGATTTGATATCCCGCCTTTCACTCCCTTTAAGGAGTCTCCAAGCGGCTAACACTCTCCTTTCCCTTCCTCCCCCACAACAAACACTCTGTGAGGTGAGTGGGGCTGAGAGACTTCAGAGAAGTGTGACTGGCCCAAGGTCGCCCAGCAGCTGCATGTGGAGGAGCGGAGACGCGAACCTGGTTCCCCAGATTACGAGACTACCGCTCTTAACCACTACACCACATAAGAAGAGAATTGCTAGGTGAGGCCAGTGGCCCATCTAGTCCATGGGTAGGCAAACAAAGGCCTGGGGCTGGATCCGGCCCAATTTCCTTCTAAATCCTGCCCGCGGACAGCCCGGGAATCAGCGTGTTTTTACATGAGTAGAATGTGTCCTTTTATTTAAAATGCACCTCTATGTTATTTGTGGGGCATAGGAATGTGTTCATTTTTTCTTCTTCAAAATATAGTCCGGCCCCCCACAAGGTCTGAGGGACAGTGGACCGGCCCCCTGCTGAAAAAGTTTGCTGACCCCTGTATCTAGTTCAGCCTTCTGTTCTCACAGTGGCCAACCCGATGCATCCGAAAAACCTGCCAGCAGAATCTGAGTGCAAGAGCAATCTTTCCATCTGTGATTCCCAGCATACTGCCTCCGACAGGGGAGGTCCATCTAGCTTAGCGTTGTCTATCTGTCCATGATTTTAGCCAAGTACGTTCCCAGCCTTACCTGAAGATACTGGGAGGTCTTTTGGCATGCCAAATGTGTTCCCCGCCACTGAACAGCAAGGGCCATTCGTGAGTTAAGCACGAGCCCCATGGCTGCCTGGTCTTCATTTCCCCCGTGACACTTCCTTGCTCCCCTTCCTTCTGTGAATTTCTTCCCATGCCTGTGTGAATTTATTCCCTTCGCCGTCTATTTTAAGATACCATTTGCGAATTTATGTCTAGGTGGAAATGCCTCTTCTAGCTAAGCACCCATCATATTGCTACAGCTTGAAAAGAATATCTGAGCAGCTGAGATTTGTTTTATTTTAAATGACTTAAAAGCACAGGGTCTTTTCTGCAAGATGTTTGTAGTTGCAAACAGACTATTGCGGGATGGAGAGGGGGAGAATTGACCCCCCCCCGTCTTTATTATGCTGCTTAGTTTTCTGGTGGTAGAACACAAAATAGTCCAGATGCAACCTCTGAGAGAGTTTTATTTGAAAGCGAGAAGTCGGGATGAATGGTCTGGAAATGCTTCCTTCCTCCCTGCGATGCTTGTCATTTGATTGATGCAACCAGCACGTGATTACTCCAAACAGTGGAAGCATTTTCTAGGAGAAGCTGAGGGTGGGGGGAGCATAGGAGAGGCTGGAAATGGGAGGAGGCAGAGAGAGAGAGAAGGATGAAAGAAGGGAGCTTTGCAGTGTGAAAATGCCTTCTCTAAAAATAAACAGCAATCTATGTGACCTGACTTCCGGATTTGGCTTTTTCTGTTCTTGAAGGCTGCGTATCTCTCTCCCGCTTGGCAAGGAAGAGTGTGGGCCTTTTGGACCCCTTAGCTAGGCTCACACAAGTCTTCAGGATTCAGAACATTTGCACCCCACTCTTCCTCTGAGGAGCATGCGTGGGATTGTTCCATTTTCTCCCAGCACCGGCTCCCATGAGGTAGATTAAACTGAGACTGTGTGACTTTTGACCCAAGCCAGCCCATGAGTGATGTGGATGAGAGGAGGGAAATCTGAGTTGGAACTCCCAAAATTCTGGCTTCCAGTTGGAGAAGGGAAGAGCTTTGACTCAGTTCATGTTCAAAGGTAAACCTAATTCACACTTTTTCAAACATTCTGAGAACTGAAAGGGAGCCATCCTTTAAAATCCACCCTTCTCTGAATTTTGCAATGCAATTTTTCACCCAAGTAATATGGACACAAGTGGATATATTGGGCTACATCACATTCCACGTTAGTGGAAGAACACACACAGAGAGAAATGGATTCTTTTCGGGAAAATCGCTTTGCAGAAATGAGCATATTGGGTGAAATTGCATACAAATGTGTGTATATTTGTGGGCGGGGATCACAAATATTTTAGGGCCTTGTGAATTTTCACAAGGCCCTAAAAGCATTACAGACAGATGCAGAAATGTACAAGACTAAACGTAAGATGGGAAATAATGAGAAGCTAAGGGAAACCAAAATGGTTCAGTTTGCCTGTCCTGAAAATGCACTGAAATATCCTGAAAATATTGCTTGCTTGCTTGTGGATGGTGCTGTCTACATCATTTAGTGGTTGATTTAGCATTGGTGTGATTTGGCTTCATGGCTTTGGGGATGGCACTTAAGAAAGAATCATAGAATCATAGAATTGTAGAATAATCTGAGGGTCATCTAGTCCAACCCTCTGAAATGCAAGGATCTCAACTAAAGCACCCATGACAGATGGCTGTCCATGCTGTGCTTAAAAACCTTCAAGGAAGGAAAGTAAATGGTCAGTAAAGAAATATAAGATACAGTGGTACCTTGCGTTACATACGCTTCAGATTACAGACGCTTCAGGTTACAGACTCCGCTAACCCAGAAATAGTACTTCGGGTTAAGAACTTTGCTTCAGGCTGAGAACAGAAATCGTGCTCCGGCGGCTTGGCAGTAGCAGGAGGCCCCATTAGCTAAAGTGGTACCTCAGGTTAAGAACAGTTTCAGGTTAAGAACGGACCTCCGGAATGAATTAAGTACTTAACCTGAGGTACCACTGTACAGTTATGTGATTTAATGAGTTGGTAGGAAAAAAAACACCAAAAGGAAAAGGATGTGTGGTCTATAATTTCAGAGGGTTCCATGGTCCAAAGTAAAACTATTTTTAATTTCAAAATAGAATTTAAAAAGCAACTTTGAACTGTACTAAATCCAAACATGTTCATAGACCTGTAGTTTGCTGTCACTCCTGAGCTGCTGTGTTTGTGTATAAAATAGAACTATT